ATGACACAAACAACGATGGTGACTTTCTAATGAATAATTATGGTATTGACTTTGGCTATCGACATGATGGTACAAAAATAGGCGATGTACAACTACCTCCTTGGGCAAAAGGTAAGATGAGATATTTAATTATAATTATCATTAATCATTTAAATTAACGATTAATCGCCATTGTTTGTATATTTTTAAAAATAGATAAAACGTTTTACTCTAAGAAGTACTTTATTCATTAACAATGTTTTTGAAGTATTTCTTATGGCAAACAGTTACAAAGTAACTATCAATTCTGCATCATATTTATATGTGATCAATTGTATGATTATAATTATAATATTATAAATATTTAACATTTAAGATAAAAAATTAATATTAACTGGATTAAATTAATATTATATTATACATATTACTCTAGGACCAGCCGATTTTGTACAACAATTGAGAAATGCCTTAGAAAGCGATTACGTTTCTCAAAATCTTCATCATTGGATTGACCTAATTTTTGGATATAAACAAAGAGGAATTGAAGCTGATAAGGCTGACAATGGTAATTCAATTTTTTGTATTTTTTTATAATATATTACTGCAGAAATAAAAGAAATTACAATATTCATTTAAAGTATTGTTAAAATTTATGATTGTTTTTAAAATTTCTACAATATATATTTGCTTTCTTTGTAGTATTTTTCCATTTGTGTTATGAAGGAGCAGTTGATTTAGATACTATACGTGATATAAATGACAGACATGGTCTCGAGGTGCAAATAATGGAGTTTGGGCAGATACCAAAACAAGTTTTCACTTTACCTCACCCCAAACGTTTGACATTAGCACCAAATTTATTATACAGTGAAACATTATTGACTTCACCAGACACGATAACTTCAGGTATTATGTCTTACATAATACTTTTTTCTTAGCTATTCATACAAATGCGCATGTATACATGGATATAGTACAGCATATTAAATATTATTGTTAATTTTCCAGATAATGCATGTGTAAACAAAAAATCAATTAATTTTACTGAATTAGTAATGTTTCAAGCACATAAAGACTGTGTCACCAGTATTGTACGAAAAAATAAAACGAGTAATGAAATTATATCAGTAGGACAAGATGGAACGCTTAAATTGTATAACATAAATGAGAAGAAATTGACACGTAGTGTTATCTTGTCCTCGTTGTCACTGTCATCTTGTATCTCATACTGTACGCTATCGCAACGAAACATTCTTGTAGCGGGATCATGGGACAATA